ATCACCTAGAAGCAGGATCTAATACAAAGGTAAAGCTCTAAAAATAAATGCTAAATGAAGAAATTTCTACAGCATATTTAGTTTAGCAACTATATTTATACATATTTCTTTCTTTGCTTCTTGTAACCACTTTTGGGTGGGTAATTATGATTACCCCTAGAATACGAGGCTCAGGGTTCAGAGATAACTAAGAAGGGGCCAGGTTGGAACTTAGAACCTTTTCAAATTCCTGTTTTCTTATTATACTACCAAGACCAAACACTACAATGGACTCCTACTCATATTCCCAACTAAGAGCATAGATTCACTTACAAACTATTTGAAAGGAATCGAATAAAGAATATAATTTTCTTAAAGTTTCATTAATCCTTTCAGATAACGAAAAACTAGCCTGGCATGGCGGCACACACTTGTAATCCCAGCAACTCAGAAGGCTGAGGCAGGAGGATCACAAGTTCAAAGCCATCCTCAGCAATTTAGTGACGCCTTATGCAATTTAGTGAGATCCTGTCTCAAAAAATAAAAATGGGAAGGGGATGTAGCTCAATGATTAAACACCAGTACCAAAAAAAAAAGAAAAACAATATCTAAGTACCCAAATACCAAATTAAAACAGTAGGAAATAACAGCATCATTATGTGTTAGACACTGTTCTAAATACAAATATTTATAATTCTCACCTCAATTCTATGAAACATTACTATCTATTTAAACAGATGACTATAGTGAAACAACACAGATTAAATAACGTGTTTAAAATCACAGCTGGTAAACTGCAGAGCCATGTTTCAAAACCAGACAGATTGAAAAGCTAAAATCAAGGAGCAAGGTAACATGGAAGTACTGTTTTATGAGTAATACCAAAGGTAGATAGTAGCAAAAGTAACTGGAATTATTTCAATATCTTAATACCCAAAGTATATAAGACACCAGTCACAGTACCATGGTAAATATGTTGGAAATATTTAATAAATAAATATGATAAAGTGGTTGTAAACCCATATTGTTAAAATTGTTTTATCACAAATATTTGGCTTTCAACTACCAGAACTTTGAAGCATAGTTTTGTAATAAGTGTTTCTAACTTTCAAAAAATTTAAAGCATTGATTTGGTTTGTTAAGGTCTTTAGTTTTTGTTTTGTTTTGTTTTTTTGTAAAGACACATACTAAAACAAATATACCACCACCCAAAATGCAAAAGGCCTTTTTAAGGAAACTCTCCTCCTCTAAGCAGCACTTCTAGTTTCAAATCATATAGGGAACTTTTAAAATACCAAAACATAGCACCCACTTCAGACCAATTAAATCAGAATATCTGAAGATGCGTATTGTTGTTAAAAGCTTCCTGAGTGATTCTAATGTGTAATCATAGTGGAGAACCATTGTTGTAAGAAAATCTAAACCCTTCATGTTGTTATTTCTTCACACAGTTTTTGTCCATAATTGTCTGAAAAAGTATTCATTTTATTCAGCCAACTGCAAACAATCAAAAAGTAAGACAAAAAGGACCCTTCACACTAAAAGGGGGATGAGTTATAAATACACCTAACCCAATATATTAGGCAAAAATCAAGGCAAAAGAAATTCCATTAATAATGTTTTAAAGGCTGGGAATGTAGCTTAGTGATAAAGCCCTTGCATAACATGCAAGAAGCCCTGAGTTCAATCCCCAGTACCACAAAAAGTAAATGTTTTGGATAACAGGAAAAGTTCAATTACCATGTCAAATATGCCAATGATCAAACTATTTCTATTTTTTAAACCCCAGGTTTTACAGTATGTAAAATGGCAATATGCTTTCCAAATGTTCAAGCCCAATAATTCCAAGAGTCACACCAAAACAACTTTTGACTTTAAACCTGAAATCCCCAAGTGTGTCATTTTTTTGAAAAGAGAAAGACTACTTAACTACAAACTTAAGGCTGTATATCTGTCAGCAAAACAAATATTTTCATGATTTCATGCAAGATATGCCTGACAAGTCAAGATCATCGGAAGAATTATGAGACTGAAGCTTATGCCTATATTTTTACATTTGGCTACTTAGCAGTTTTGCAAGAAAACTATGCTTCAAAAGCAAGTATTAAAATATGCAGCTGTGTTATTCAAAAACACTACTACAAGCCGGGCACGCAGTGGCAAACACCTATAATCCCAGCAGCTCACCTGTAATCTCAGCAGCTCGGCAGGCTGAGGCAGGAGTATCATGAGTTCAAAGATAGCCTCAGCAAAAGTGAGGGGCTAAGCAACTCAGTGAGACAGTGAGACCTTGTCTCTAAATAAAATACAAAACAGAGCTGGGGATACGGCTCAGTGGTCAAGTGCCGAAGTTCAATCCATCTATCTCACCACCCCAAAAATAAACACTGCTACAGGTCCACATTCTACATTCAGAACCCTTAAGAAATGTGCTTCACAATTTTTCAAATTTGGAAAAGATAATACAGTGTTTATACCCTGACATGCCCTGAAGGATCAACAAAGCACCAGAAACCAAATAAATTAATATTCCTTAAAAAAAGGAATGACGCTTTTCTAAGTGAGATAAGTAAAAATTACTGAGAAGCCCCTGACAGGAAAGTTATCAACTTACTTTGCTGCAACCATCTGAAATGCTTTTTTTTTTTACAGAGATGAGCCTATATGCAAGATTTCTCTTTGATGTTCAAGATACTGCAAATGGACTGTGATGAAAACATTCTTTTAATACCACTAATTCTAAAGAAACAACTCAAATTATGTTATACTCATGAAAAAACTCCAAGTGGTATCCAATAATTTCCACAATGATTAGAATAGCATAAGTGTTTGCCTTAATTTCCATAAAGATGTTTTAGACAAGATCAAACAAATACATCATATATGTGCAAGCTGATGTACCTAAGACAAGTCTGAAACAGTCATATGTAAAGAAGGAACAAATATACACCCATAGCTCATCTGACTTTCTATCTAGCAGTAGAGAAAAACAGGGTGCTTTGAAGCTAAAGCAGACTAATATTCTTATCCAGGCTCCACCACAAAGGAAAGTTATTTACACCCTTCACCCTATTTACACCCTACAACTTCCAAATTCTTCATCTAGAAAGTAGAAACAATAGTACTTACCTCTCTACATGTTTAAAAGAATTATATAAAGTAACATTTGATGTCCATGACTTACAAATCATCAATATTAATTCCCTCCACCTATACTACTATCATCACTTCTTCAAAGACCACTTATAAGCTAAAAGGGCTGAAGTATGACTTGCCTATGATACCTTATTAGGTAATTTTGAAATGCTAATTTTAATGCAAAACCTACCATAAAAATTACTTCCAAATTTCAAAAATCCAGTTAGATTGAAGGGATGTCTAACTGAATCAGGGCAACTTCTCAAAACACATTCTAAATAAACTTTCTACCCACTCTCCTGATACTTTTTTAAAAGTATTCTACACAACCAACTGCACACAAAAAATGCATAAGTGAAAATGAACTACTATACTAAAAAGTAGACCCTTTTAACTCCTAATACTAGAAGAATGGCCTAGGTTTTCAGACAAGAGAAACCATTACAGTATTTAGACTTCATAACACAACCACTGTCCAAGAACCCACACAACTTAAATGCACTTTGAGAAAAGAAGAAATGACAGTCCAAAAATCCAAATTTCATAAACTAGCTACTGAATAAGGACATAGTAAGTCTGATAACTTTGGGCAGATTTTTGCATTTAATGGACATTTACACTTATTGTCAAATGTACAAAGAGATGGAAACCTTTGTTGCTCTTTATCCTAAATTCACTTGTAGTTCCATTATGTAACTCAAGAATTTTACAGGGTATTGAATTCAGTCTTAAAGCATAAAAAGTTCTGAGCTGACTCAATGCTTCACTGTAAATAATTTTCCCAAAGTACTGTACATAACCTGGACAACCTAGGTCTCCACCACACCCAACTTAAGATATTCAGGCAACTTAGCATAGCTCTTGTTTAAAAGACAGCTTCCCCTAAATGATGTTAATACTCAAAAGCTACTGGTTACTGTTAATACTACCAATACATTAGACCTTTGCAGTTCCATCAGCTTTAAGAATACCACCTGTCCTATGTCCTAGCAGAGTGCAACAAATGGAATCCAAACATTACCCCAAAATAAAATGCTTTGAAATCTGTATTATTCTGTGTTTTAATATGTTGTCTGATGTGAAAAGATTTAGAAAAAAAAAAAAAAAGCAAATTACCAATTACCTCATAACTCTCTACAAGATGAATTAAATGAGACTTGATCCTTCATACTTGCACTTTTTCCTTCATAAACAGGAAACTCCAACCGAAAGGAAATAGAGAAAAGCCTATTTTTGCTAAGAAGAATAACGGCATTGCTTCCAACCCCCACAGTGTGAGTGAACAAAATGAAAAAGGCAATGGGAGGAAGTGACGGGGGCGGGAGGCTGGTGAGCTCACTTGGGAGTCCTAAACATGCTACCCAGCTCATAGGGTGCCCCAAACATCTGTAACAGCTGGAACACGGGCACGGGGCTGTAAGAATAACAGGACGGGGGATAGGGGGCGAGGCGAGTCTCAGAGTTGTGCATGCACCTTTGGTTTCCTGCTTTGCCAACTCTTCTCTTATCTCCCAATTCCCATCCTCCCCAGACCATCCCGCTCCCTCCATAAAGAGTACCCAATAAAAGGAGAGGCAGAGAAGACAAAGAGGCAGGAGGAGGCTTCAAAGAGCACCCAGAACAATGGAGAGAGGGTGAAAAAAGAAACTCCTGAGACCGACGATGGGGGGGGGGGGGTGAGGAGGCACCGGAGAAACGCCACAGAGCCCGGGCCCCGCGGGCGCCGGGCGTCTGGACGCGAGGCCCTGCCGCGCGGGCGGTGTCACCCGCGACGCGGCGGGCTAGGCTAGGCTAGGCTGGGCTAGGCTGGGGCCGGCCGGGCGGCGAGCGCTGAGGGCCCCGGGGGCTGCCGGGGCCTGCGCAGGTTCGCCCGCAAGACTCACCGGCATTCTGGTCTCGGGGCCAGAGGTAGTATGTGGCTGGGATCACGATGAGCCCAACGAAGGAGGTGAGGAAGTAGAAGAAGGTGTTCCCACTGTCATCGTACTGGAACTGCTGCCCCGCCATGGCTCCCCCTCCTCCTCCTCCTCCTCGCTCTTCTCACCGCCGGCGCCACGACCCCGCTCTGCGCCCTGGCTCCCAGCGCCCCGGCCCGGTGTGGCGTAGCTCGGACGCCGACGCCGCCGCCGCCTCCTCCTCCTCCTCTCCTCCCCGCCCCCACGCTACTCTCACGGACACGCCGCCGCTGCCGTAGCTGGCTCTCGCGAGATGTTCCTGCCCGCTCGGTTTTTCCCTCCCCCTCCAGTTCCCAGCACGCTCGCGGAGGGAGACGTGGCGCGCGCAGCGCAGAAATCCTGCGAGGCCCCGCCCCTCTCCCGCCCCCCAAGTCACAGCCCCGCCTCCAACCTCCTGCTGGCCCTGCCCTAGGCCCCGCCCCTAGGACGGAGTGTCTTCACTTCCTTCCTCCCCTTGGTTTCCCGGGGCCCCACACGGGATTCCGAGAGTGTACCTGTAGGGTCCCAAGGAAGTCTTCTCTGGCCGGGCAGAACACAGGTGGCTCTCCGAGGTGCTCTCCCGGCTATCTGGAGCAATCTTGCCTCCTCTCTCTACTATCCTTGCTCTTGGTTTTTAATTGCCCTGGTAATGTTTTCCTAGGTTCTTATCCACTCCTCCAGCTCCCACATTTTGGAAACAAGTATCATTCGGAACAGGCGAGGTGGAGGTTGTTGTAGTTCGGTTTGCAAAGTAATGTTTGTTCCCTAAGACTGAGGTCTGGTCTGCGCCCATTTTCCTCAGTCCTACACAGATAGTGTCCTATCTGGCCAAAGCTGCTAATATTTACAGCCACCAGTTCACTAGCGCTTTCTACGACCCAAGCAGTAGGCTAAGACCTTTATTCTTTGTATCATTTAGGCGTCGGTGAACCTTATGGACTAAAGCAAAACATGCCCGCTCTACAGATGAAGAAATTGGGGCTCAAAGAGTTTGCCCAAGGTCAACCTGATGATTCAACCCCAGAGCTCTCTGACGCCACAAAGCCAGTGCTTCTGAGCATCATATCGCATTTCCCTGAGAGCGTCTAGAACTCTCCTCTACAGAAGGTGGGCAGGAATCTGCTCCTAGAAGGACGTCTGAGCCTGCAGTAACTCTCTAGAGCTTCTCTTCTTCCCTGTAGTGGGATCCCCAAGAGGCCGGTGTCAGCCGAGTTGGCGCGGGACTCACGACCCCGCAGTCCAGCGGCAGCCTTGGCTGCGTCGGTCCCAGCACCTTCATTGCCCCGGTGTGTCAAAAGGGTAGCCCACCAGACCCATCTCAAACGGTGGCTGTGCAGGTTAAAGGAAAGGCAAGGTGGTATATTTTAAAAGAACCAAATATTGCACTACATTTTGAAGGCTCATTTTTAGACTTTATAGTCAGTTAATTAAACGCCTTTTCAATATGCCTTCCATTGTTAGAGGAGAACTCTGGTTGTACATCCTCTTTTATTTCATGTCCTCAGAACTAATATTTATCATAATTAGTTATGCTTTCCTTCAGAACAGATATATTAACATGTATTCTCTCTTTCCTTTCAAATTTCCCACCTACCTGCTTTGAAAGGAAAGTTCTGAAAATTATTTTCTCTGCATTTCCCCCTCACTTTTTCCTGAATAAAGATTCCAAAGACTATTGGAGGGAAAAAAAATAAAACAGAAGTGAAAGGGAAAATTGTACTATGAAGTCCACACAGCATCATGATCACCCACACGTGACATGCCCAGAAAGAACAATTTGTCCTGCTTGCAGAAACAAATTAGTCACAAACCTGGGTCAACTGAAGTCGTTAGGACCCTGAAGTTCCTTTTGTTTATGTTGAATCTGTTAAATCTTCCCAGGTTTTAATAATGTTGAAGTGATTATTTTTTATTACTCCAATTATGTTTTACTCAGCATTTGTGTAAAGATAATACATCAGTTTTATAACCTTGTGGCAATATAAATTATTAATGATAAATACTCCCCTTCTGACTTTCTGCAGGAGTAATCTTTTCACTGCAGCTCTGGGATCATGCATAAATTGGCTTGAACCAACTTAACCATGAAATAACAATTTGAACAAATTACACTAACTTCCTAAATTCCCAGACCAATCTAAAATATAAATTTTTTAACCAAAGCACATTAAAATTTTGAAAATGCGTCCTCTATTTTTAAAACCATAAATATATCTTATCCTAGAACTTATCAATATTGAACGGACTACCCAAATAGTATCCAAAGCAAATCTAAATCATACCTTTAATTAATTTCATCACAATTTCTGATTCATAGTTATTTTAACCTACACAACTATATCTTTTAAGAGATCATTTTAGTGAAACATTTTAACAATAATAAATGAAGATGGAAGAAGCAAAGCTACAAACACATTTTGTCCTTAGTGTAATTGCTCACATTAAAAAGTATTTTAGGGGGCTTGGGTTGTGGCTCAGTGGTAGAGCTCTTGCCTAGCATGTGTGAAGCACTGGGTTCGAATCTCAGCACCTCATATAAATAAATAAAATAAAGGACCATTGACAACTAAAAATATCTTAAAAATAAAATAAAAAGAATTTTAGTATTATCTATTAATGTGTCTGTATGTGAATATTTTAATTTTATTTTTGTTGCTAGGTAGATCATTTCCTCTCAGGTGTAGAAATCCTATTTGTATTTTCCTTTTAATAATTCACTTTTTTCTTAGAACAAATCATGCCTTCATTTTAAGTCATTCTTGTATACTATTGGTGTTGACTTACATTCCTACAGACCAAAGTACATTTATATAGCTATAAGTGTCATTATTCAGTTTTCTACTTAATGGAGTTAGGATCAAAGAGACTGGAAGGAACCAAATTACTAAGTAAGTACATGTAATTATTTCCAGTCTTCTTCCTGTTTCCCCCTCATACACACAGTATAATAGTCTTCCCTTAATTTGCAGAGGATATGTTCTGAGAACCCAAGTGGATGCCTGAAACCACAGTTAATACCAAACCCTACATCCATTATGTTTTTTCTATAAACATATACATAAATACAATGTCTTTTCCATGTTAACTAAGTGCTTACATGTTGTGGCTATGAATTTTGCAGTTCAAGATATGACAGCAAAACTAGCATGAATTCCTTTTCTTTCTCCACAATTCCGCTAATAGAAGACTTGCTCTTACCAACCTCAGTATACAATTTTTTCTTTCCATATTATGTAGAGAACTTTCACCTTTTCCTTTTAAAGAAAACCTTTATAACTCTTCTTTGGCATATGAAATTTGACAGCATCACTACTTTGGCATTTGGGAGCTGTTATAAGTAAAATAAGGGTTACTTGATCACAGGTACTATTATACCTAGACAACCGATCTAATAACAGAAATGACTACTAAGTAACTAAAGGGTATGTAGTGTATATAGCATGGATACACAGGACAAAGGGATAATTCACATTCTGGAAGGACACAGCAGGAGGACATGAAATTTCATCAAACTTACTCAGAACATCACATAAGTTAATGCTTATAAATCGTTTATTTCTGAAATTTTCCATTTAATATTTTCTGTGATAGACCCCTGGTAATTGAAATCTTGCAAAGCAAAACCATTGATAAGGAGGGATTAAACTTCTTACTATCCTGTTTCAGAGACAGAATTTTCTTCCATTAAGAGGTTAAATTTATTCTAAAACAAATTAATTATTTTTATTTGTCCTTATCAATGGAAAGTTCTCCCTATCATAATGATAATACTAATAACAACAAAGTAATTTTTAAAAACCTTCCAGTTGAAATTCTAAATCATTAGCTACATGTTGGAAATTTGACAAAGTAATAGCATGAAATCATTGCAAATTTTTCATTCCCTAACTCTCTGAAGCTCCAATGACACAATGAAACCACAATCTAATTTTTAGAGAAAATGTAAAAGAGGTGTAAGTTGGAAAGATAAGACTAGTTTATACTCAACTCTAAAACATGAAACAAACTTTGGTGGGAAGGGTACTGAGGATTAAACTTGGGGATGCATTACCACTGAGCTACATACACAACACTTTTTATTTTTTATTTTGACACAGGGTCTCTCTAAGTTTATTAGGGTCTCACTAAATTGTTGAGGCTGGCCTCCAACTTGAGATCCTCTTACCTCAGCCTCTGGGGTCACTGGGATTACAGGTGTGAATCATAGCCACAGCACAAAACAATTTTAAAAGGAATCAGGGGCTGTGATTTTCCTTTAGTATTGTAAGAAAGTTTGTATTCTGACCTCTTTGTTTTCATGGAAATATTGAACTTGTTAATATTGTTCTTTTCCTATCCCTATTTTGTGACTACAAAGCTGAGAATTAATTGTACTAAAGTCAGTGGTCAATGATGCATTGATAAACTCAGGTCATTCCTTGTGAATTACTTTTATACTTTAACAACTTCTGTGGTTTGAATTTGTGCCCTTCAAGATTCAAGTGCTAAAATTTAATTGCCAAATGTCATAGTATTGAGGCCTTTAAGAGGTATTTAGCCCAGGTGGGAGGCTCCCTCATGAATGGAATCAAGGCCCTTATAAAAGAGGCTTCATGTAGTATTCCATGTTTGGCTCTGTCCTGTGAAGACACAGGGTTCCTCCCTCCAGAAGATGCAGCAGCAAGGTACCATCTTGAATGTGAAGACTGTGTCCCTCACCAGACACCCAACCTTGATCTTGGACTTCCTGGCCTCCATCCAGAACTGTGAGAAATGAGTTTCTATTCTTCATAAATTACTGAGTCTCAGGCATTTTGGTACTGCATCACAAGCAGACTAAGACACTAACATATACAAATAGTTTACTGAAAAAACAATGATGCACATTGTACCTTAAGCCATAAACTAGCCCTTAATAAAATTCCCCACCCAGATAGAAATGTGACTTGGCAGAGTAGACATAAATAAATGGAAGAGTTCACCCAGATCATTTCAAATGTATATATTTGAATACAAAGAAAAGAATTCTTGCCCAGTCTGGAGGCACAAATCTGTAATCCCAGCAACTGAGGGTTGTTGGAGGGTCACCAGTTTGAGGCCATCCTCAACAACTTAGGGAGACCCTCCCAAAATAAGAAATAAAAAAGGGCTGGGAATATAGCTCAGTGGTAAAGTACCCCT